CAATTATCATCGTCAATGATGGCCTGCAAGCGTTTTCAAGAAGGCTCTAAGTAACGCTTATGAAGGAAACCGCTTGCATGCTCCGAGCGCCTCATGCTGGCTGAGCTGTTTGAGCTGATAGATAGGTGTGACAATATGTACATGCATAGCGACGAGCTCGGTCACGAATCTCAGACACTAAGCCGGTCATCAAAGAGCAATGGCGGGGAGTCATTAACTCTCTTGTCTGGACCATGACTTCAACATCCCCTGGAAGATATATAAGAAACTATTCAGCCCCCCTGATGCAAAAGTTTCAAATGGTTTACATCTTATGATGTGCTAGCAGTTAATCAATGACCACAGGAAAGAAGAAAGCAGTTCAAATCACCCAGACATGGATAGCACTGATCAATTTCAAATGTGCCCCTAGAATGAGATTCATAACCGAAGATATCACTCGCTGGCTGATCTCCTGCCCACACAGCTGGTGGTTTCTTGGGAAAAAGCCAAACCTTAGTGAACTCTCTTTATCCCCTTTCCCCTTTCCCCTTCCCATTACCCCTCTATCTACCTAGTACTATGGAGTCTGGACTCTGGACCAACATGCCCCCTTCCCTTCCCGAAACCGGTGCGACCATGGTACGAGATCATGGTATGGACCATGGTATGATATCATGTATATATAGCTTGGCTAGCCTACCTGGAGTCAATTCTGGTGTGGATCGAGGCGTGTTAGCGGAATTTCCCCAGTAAAGTTCGTTCTTCCCAGTGACCCCCTTTCACAACACGCGGGACGGTGGTCCCCACCTTGAGTTCATTAATTCGGGTGAAAGGAAATGGAGGAAGGTTGCACTGTGGGCTATCTGGAGGAGGTGTACAAAGCTTATCAATGGGTGCAAAGCAGAGAAGAAGGAAGGTTGCACTGTTTGAGAGTCAACGAAGGACATTATTGACACCGCGATGAGGTGTGCGAGGACAAAAGTGTGAAAAAGGCAAGGATTAGTTGGATATAAAGCGAATGGACTCTGGGGACGGTTTTCGGCAAGCTGGCTAGCAGGGGGAAGAATACCGAGACCTGAAGCAGCTCGTTTGAAATGGACCATCTGGTGCAGCTCAAGTCAAGGCGGGAGGAGAAATGAGATTCAAACATCGGGGATGTACAAATGTCCAAACTGCCAATTTGAGTGAGAGAGATGCCAGGACGCCCGGACCGAGGGATCGCCCCAAGAGCGCCAAGCAGGCAGTGCAACATGAGAATGGAGCAGATGCCTGAGTACCTAAGCAAATGCCTCGGCCGTCGAAGATTCTCGCTTATCTGACAGTCCCTGAAGCCGAGGAATGCGGGGAATTTTATGCAGGAAAAGCCGCGGTGGGGACCACCGCCCCGCCTGACAGTCAATCCGCCTTCACAAGGAGCAATCAATGCTGTTCAGGAGAGCCTTCAGCCGCAATGGAAGGATGCGTCAGACATGATTAAAGTCTATTCAATTTTCTGTGTCATATATGACTTGCCGGTGGAGAAGGAACCTTATTGACACTCCCCAGCATAGAAAGGAGCCAGCACCAGAAGGCCCTTAAAAAAAAAAGGATAAAAAAAAGAAAAAAGAAAAAAAGAAAGGAAAAAAAAGAAAGACGGGAGTCTTAGTTGGATGCTAACGACACGTATGGCACATTAACATACAAGGTGCATGAACTGGAGTCAAGCGAGAAATGGTCGAACCGATTCCGTTTTGCGAATAGAAACTTGATGAGTGAGAAACCCTTGATGAGACAGACATTACGTATCTGGTGAAAATTCCGTGAAACGCATTGTGGTCTAAGTGGGATGCATTCTTGTCACCGGCACTTGAGAAGCAAGATCGTTGAGTGCTTGTTTGATCACCTCTGTGCGACCCGACTGTGCGCTGCATCCAGTTCTTCTTCTCTTTCATTTTTTAAGGGGGTAGCCCTTTACCTTGTTGTATCCATCTTCTTCCACCTGGATTCGAACTCATGATCTGTTTGTTAACAGTTCCATGTCCTTCTCTAACCCAGTGTCATCTTCCCTTGGACATGGGAAGCAGCAGACAGCCAATCAAACCCTCTCTGTCGTCTGCAGAGCTCAGAGTCATCAACATCTCCCCTCTCAACAGCTATATTCATCACATGAGAACAGAGGGACAGAGAGAGACACAGAGAGAGAGAGAGAGAG